TATGACAAATTAGATACTCAATATCTCACGAATAGAATGACCAATCAACAAGTCCTCGGTAGGGCAAATGTAAAAATGTATCCTGAAACATCTCACTAAATAACAAATAGCATGCTGCCACCAGCGTTACGTACGACTGGTCCGAAAATTGACATTTCCTCCAGAGCACAAACTGCATTATAGATTTAAGACGAATTAGATATAAAATATATCACAAACGTGAACATCATTCATTAAATCCTTTAAAGAGCATACTCCAAAATATATACTTAAACGTCTCACAAAATTGCAAAGGACTGGCATGTAGCAGGGTGACGTACGACTGGTCGGAAAATTGACATTTCGTGAAGAGCCCAAATTGCATAAGCGATTTAAGACGAATTGGATATTATATATCTCCCTAACAGAGAAATCAATCGATACACCTCTCCTTTGGCAAACGTAAAAATATATACATAAACGTCTCACAATATATCAAACTAGTCGCTGCTACCAGTGCGATGTACAGCTGGTCCGAAAATTGACATACCGTACATAGCCCAAAGTAAATCAGACTTGTATGACAAACCAGATGATCAATATCTCACGAATAGAATGACCAATCAACAAGTCCTCGGTAGGACGAATGTAAAAATGTATCTTGAAACATCTCACTAAATAACAAATATCATGCTGCCACCAGCGTTACGTACGACTGGTCCGAAAATTGACATTTCCTCCAGAGCACAAACTGCATCAAAGATTTCAGACGAATTAGATATAAAATATATCACGAACAGGAACATCATATATTAAATCCATTCAAGAGCATACTCCAAAATATATACTTAAACATCTCACAAAATTGCAAAGGACTGGCATGTAGCAATGTGACGTACGACTGGTCGGAAAATTGACATTTCGTCAAGAGCGCGAATTGCATAAGCGACTTAAGACGAATTGGATATTATATATCCCCATAACAGAGAAGGCAATCGATACATCCCTCCTTTGGCAAACGTAAAAATATATACATAAACGACTCACAATATATCAAACTAGTCGCTACTACCAGTGCGATGTACAGCTGGTCCGAAAATTGACATTCCGTACATAGCCCAAGGTAAATCAGACTTGTATGACAAATTAGATACTCAATATCTCACGAATAGAATGACCAATCAACAAGTCCTCGGTAGGGCAAATCTAAAAATGTATCCCAAAACATCTCACTAAATAACAAATATCATGCTGTCACAAGCGTTATGTACGACTGGTCCGAAAATTTACATTTCCACCAGAGCACAAATTGCATCATAGATTTAAGACGAATTAGATATAAAATATATCACGAACGGGAACATCATTCATTAAACCCATTCAAGAGCATACTCCAAAATATATACTTAAACATTTCACAAAATTGCAAAGGACTGGCATGTAGCAGGGTGACGTACACCTGTTTGGAAAATTGACATTTCGTCAAGAGCGCAAATTGCATAAGCGATTCAAAACGAATAGGATATTATATATCTCCCTAACAAGGAGATCAATCGATATATCCCTCCTTTGGCAAACGTAAAAATATATACATAAACGTCTCACAATATATCAAACTAGTCGCTGCTACCAGTGCGATGTACAGCTGGTCCGAAAATAGACATTCCGTACATAGCCCAAAGTAAATCAGACTTGTATGACAAACCAGATACTCAATATCTCACGAATAGAATGACCAATCAACAAGTCCTCGGTAGGGCAAATGTAAAAATGTATCTTGAAACATCTCACCAAATAACAAATATCATGCTGCCACCAGCGTTACGTACGACTGGTCCGAAAATTGACATTTCCTCCAGAGCACAAACTGCATCATAGATTTAAGACGAATTAGATATAAAATATGTCACGAACGGGAACATCATTCATTAAATCCTTTGAAGAGCATACTCCTAAATATATACTTAAACGTCTCACAAAATTGCAAAGGACTGGCATGTAGCAGTGTGACGTACGATTGGTCGGAAAATTGACATTTCGTCAAGAGCGCGAAATGCATAAGCGAATTAAGACGAATTGGATATTATATATCCCCCTAACAGAGAAGTCAATCGATACATCCCTCCTTTGACAAACGTAAAAATATATACATAAACGTCTCACAATATATCAAACTAGTCGCTCCTACCAGTGCGATGTACAGCTGGTCCGAAAATTGACATTCCGTACATGGCCCAAAGTAAATCAGACTTGTATGACAAATTAGATACTCAATATCTCACGAATAGAAAGACCAATCAACAAGTCCTCGATAAGGCAATTGTAAAAATGTATCCTGAAACATCTCACTAAATAACAAATATCATGCTGCAACCAGCGTTACGTACGACTGGTCCGAAAAAATGTCATTTCCTCCAGAGCATAAACTGCATCATAGATTTAATACGAATTAGATATAAAATATATCACCACCGGGAACATCATTCATTAAATCCATTCAAGAGCATACTCCAAAATATATACTTAAGGAACGTCTCACAATATAGCAAACTAGTCGCTGCTACCAATGTGATGTACAGCTTGTCCGAAAATTGGCATTCCGTACATAGCCCAAAGTAAATTAGACTTCAATGAGATATTGAGTATCTAATATGTCATAAAGCTCTGATTTACATTTCACTCTAGACGAAATGTCAATTTTCTGAGCAGTCGTACGCCACGCTGGTACTGTAGCTAGTCCTTTGCTGATTTGTGAGACGTTTCAGTATAAATTTCTACGTTTTCTTTACGAACGATTTAATGACTGATGTTTCTGGTCGTGAAATATTCTATATCTAATTTGTCTGATACCGCTGATACAGTTTGCGCTCCAGACGAAATGTCAATATTCGTACCGGTACTACGTTACGCTGTTAGCAGCATGTTGGTTGTTAACTTGCGAGACGTTAAAGGATATATTTTTGCATTTACCCTACCAAGGACTTGTTGAGTGGTAATTCTTTTCGTAAGATATTGAGTATCTAATTTGTCATAAAGCTCTGATTTACTTTGCACTCTGTACCGAATGTTAATTTTCGGACCAGTTGTACATCGCGCTGGTAGCAGTGACTAGTTTGATATTTTGTGAGACGTTTATGTATATTTTGTATGTTTGCCATAGGATGGATGTATTCATTGACTTTTCTGTTAGGGAGATATTGTTATATATGCTTTAGTTACGTATAAATGATTTAACATAAAATAAGAAGTAGTGTTCCATGTTTATTTAATGTTCAGGATTAATCCTACTCTACGACAATAATTATGTTGATTGCATCCTGGTTCTCAACTTATGTTGATGGTTTTTTATATAATTTAGAATTTTGATAGAAAGTTACATAGTTTTGAAGTTTATATCTAAATGAGTAGTTAATGTTGCTTAAACCAAAAATATATTGAAAAGTGATTCTATAGTGAAAAGATGCTATCTTATCCAGATTCAAAAGAATGTTAAGACCGCCTCTTTTCCATATAAAGAATGTTAACGAAAGTAACACTCTTAACATTTGAACCATACAATAATATTGAGTATCTAATTTGTCATAAAGCTCTTGATTTACTTGCGCTCTGTACGGAATGTTAATTTTCGGACCAGTTGTACATCGCGCTGGTAGCAGTGACAAGTTTATTATTTTGTGAGACGTTTATGTATATTTTTTTTACTAATGGCGAATAGAATTACCACTCAACAATTCCTTGGTGGACAAATGTGTACATATGGAAATCCTTTCGTCCTCCACATTTAAAACATTTAAAGGGTGACGATAAGCTTCCCGTATAAAAACAATATGGCGGCTCCAGGCGAATCAACTGGATCAGTCCATTTTTAAGAAATAAGGGGAGTTCTGTAAAATCCAGTTTATTGAAATTGTCTTTGAGATAAAGTAATCCGTTTATAATGATTTTGAAAACGTTATCCATCGAGTGATTGCGTTCAAACAGTACATGTACAACAGCCAATACAAATCCTTGTATTAGAACTGCTTTGTTTCATGTGTAGGATATTTCATATGCCAAGCTGTGTGCTATTACGTTATGGGGAAATGTAGATGCCAATTTTTCCTTATTATACACAAATAGAAGATCCTGAAACTTCACCCATAAATTTGGAATTGATTTGTCAATATAAAAATCACCCTTTTATAAATATGTGACGATCTATAATATACTTATGCTATATAACAGTTAGAGGTGTTGACACAACGACATCGAACCTGTGAACCCTTGAGTATTATTCCGGGATCGGGCCTTTTATACTAAACGGTGAGCAACACCAGAAACGAGCGTTCGATTTGCTAAACGATATGCGTCACCCTTTAAGGCGAATAACTCTGATATCGTATATGTATCAACAATGGGATAGGAGCATCATAAAACACGAATCAATTGATATTTTAGGTGAAATAAATATACGTGTTGCTGTGCTTGAAAATAGGCGAATGTCTTAAATTAGCCCTATTTTAATGAATTTTGAAAACCTTTCGTCCTCCACTTTTCCACCTACAACAGAAAACATATACTTTTGCGAACAAAATTAACTATTTATTAATAAACTAGAGTTTAGAAGCAAAATAACTATTTATTAATCAACTAGAGTTTAGAAGCAAAACAATCATGTGTGATTTATCAAAGATTGATCTCGTATTTTTTGTTTAATGTACACCTGAAAAGTTGAAGGTAACAAAAAATGAGCAAAAAAGGTCGCTGTCAACAGATTCTATTTTTCAAACTCTATGACGTCACAATATGGGACGCTTACTGAAATTCATCCTTTTGATATAAAACTTCCATCTACCTTTATCAAGACGAAAAATAAGTATAATAGTCATATATTGTTTGAGTTATGAGCGTTTAAAGACGAAAAATAATTCAAAATGTAACGTGTCAACAGGGGATATTTGCCAGATGTTTAAGTAAAAAACTCCTTTTAAAAAAAGAACGCGCAAGAATCGTGAACGGAGTTTAGATGATCTAAAAACTTCATCGAAACAGCTTTAAAATGATACATAGCTTTAATTAGAATATTATCTTATAATCCGGGGAATCAAAGTTACATTCACGCGATACCCTTAAAAACAAATGCGCCACCTTTTTGCGACACGTCAATGGAGCGGAGTAAACCAGATAAATGATCCGTTACCCCATGTACCTAAAGATGCCCCCAAAGGTTTCATTGAATACAACATGGAAATAGTTACTTTTATCAATTATGAACACATCCAAAACAAAATTAGGTCAAAGGGATTAAAACTAAGGTCATTCAGTGCATATAAGTTTGACTATGCAAATCATTCTATATACAGGGTGACAAAAAAAAACTGGAACCCATAAATCATAAAATTTCTCGGAAAGTGTTATACCTACATTCTTCATTTCTTCAGGGTAGAAACTAGCCTGAATGCATGACAAAATGACACAATAATGAGTACTGTAGCTTAGATATTAATCATGCCATGGACGACAGAAGAAAAGACTAATATTGTGAGAAAGTATATCGAGACAAAATCCCATAAAGAGACAAAAACTGCCTATATGAGAGATCACAGGGCAAGAAGAGCCCCTTGCAAGTCACAGATCTTGAGGCTTGTACAGAAGTTTGATTCAGAAGGAACTGTAAAACCAACAAAGAAGAAAAGTGATGGTAAACCAACCAATTCAGGGAGAATGCGGTCTGTCAGAACTCAAGACAACTCAACAGTCAACTCAGAACGTTACATCCCTAACGTTCAAAAGTTTTGGAGAGCGCTGGGTAGACGACGTGACTTGAGAAGGGACCAGCAATGGTTCCAACAAGATGGTGCCACACCCCACACCTCAAATGAGTCCATTCGATGGCTTCAGGCTCACTTTGGTGATCAATTAATCAGTCACCATACCCGCCACATCTGCCCCCCCCCACTCCCCTGATTTGTACCCCTAGATTTTTATCTGTGGAGGTATCTCAAGGATAATGTGTATACAGATAGTCCACTGACCATTGATGACCTCAAACTCGACTTTGGAAGACTAATTAGAGAGATAGACAGAGATGAATGCAGTCGGGTCATTGACAATTTTGCAAGAAGAATCCAGCTCTGCATCCAACGTTGTGGTGCACATTTGGAGCACATTATCTAATCGTGCCTCATTTGGAGACTAATTGAGCTATAATGCTAAGACTTTGACATCTTGTCATACATTCAGTTGACTATACATTATTGACAAAGTTATTAAGACTTAAATGGGTTCCAGTTTTTTTTTGTCACCCTGTATCATGTTACGGGTATGTTGATCTTCATTCATGACTATTTTAAGTATAATGACCATTCAATCAATCGATATATCAAACTAACATTAAGGTAGGACACAAAGGGCAACATATTGAAAACAAAAATCATAAAATAACCCCTAAAATGCAATATATCGATGAATTTTAATCTTGAATCTCAGCAAAAGTACCATTATCACCTCAGTTGGTATGCAATAGGTTTAACCTAGGATATTCGATTTAGAGGACATATTACACACCATTATCAAAGGTAGGATACAAAGGGCAACATATTGAAAACACAAAACCTAGGTATTCAACTCAAATACTAAAAATCTAGTTGTGACTTTCCAATATATGATATATTTATTTGGCATTTTCAAAGAATAATTCAATTGAAGCTAAAGGTATAAAAATGATTGCTTTTTAAAATTGAAAAGGTGCATGTAGGATAGTTTTTTCGTCAGTTTGAAACCCATTGTTTTGCTATCAAACAAGTGGAAGCATTTTTAATCTAACCATTGTATAACATAATAATAATTATGAAGTAAAATATTTTAGTTTGACTTAGGATGAGAACTATCTTACAAGCAGTGTCCCTTTAATGGCTAAATGGATATTGATTCCATCTTTCAGCAATATATCATCTTCTTGGACAGGCATCAAAAATAGATTGATACTTTTGTTTTTTTGGTGAGAACTACCTTACAAGCAGTGTCCCTTTAAACATCTACATGGGTATTGATTTAGTCCCTCAGCAATATATCATCTTCAGGGGTAGGCAATTGAATGAAGAATCAAAAAAGGATTGACCCATTAGCCTCTTTGGTTGAGAACTACCTTACAAGCAGTGTCTCTTTAAATGGGTAAATGGATATTGATTCAGTCCCGCAGCAATATATCACATTTAGGGGCAGGCACGACTGATGAATCAAAAGTATATTGACCCTTTTTATTGTTTGTCAAAAATATTTTAGTGTTCATTAGGATGATAACTATCTTACAAGCAATGTCCCTTTAAATGGCTGAATGGATAATGACACAGGCCCTCTGCAATATATCATCTTCAGGGGCATGCATGAATGATCGATCAAATATAGAGAACTTCCTTACAAGGAATGTCCCTTTAATGGCTAAATTGATATTAATTCAGTGTCTCTTCAACATATCGTCTCCAGAGATAGGGATTAGTGATGAATCAAAAGAAGATTGTCCCATTTGATTCTTTGTTTCAAACATTTTAGTGTTCATTATCATGAGAACAACCTTACAAACAGTGTCCCTTTAATGACTGAATGGATATCAATATTCAGTCCCTCTGCAATGTATCCTCTTCAGAGGCATGCATGACTGATAAATCAAAAATATATTGACCTATTTGATACTTTATGTAACATAAATTGCTTTCTAGAGATGTTCGAGATTTTTTTCTAAATCTCGCGTTACTTTTGCACTGAACGAAATAACACTTCAGTCAACCGCATTCATGTTAATGACAAAAGCAACAACAACAATGACTTAAAGGAATTTGTATACTTTATATAAATGATTACTACAAGCAAGGTGCCCAAATTAAGCTAAATTATATATTTTTAACGGAGGGCTGCTGTTGAATCACGTCTTCAGCAGCTCAACGAGGGAGCTCACACCACAGTTCAAAATTGCTATCGCATCGGGCGGCCTACCACTACCAGCGTACAAGGAGGAAAATCACAGAGACCAAGACCCGTACTAATACAATTCGAATCGGAAAAGGAAGCGAATGCGATTAAAAGGCTAGTCTGGTCCAAGAAAGCAAAAAGCAATGTGAGAATTGGAGAAGACCTACCTGAAGATGCCCGTGCAATTCAAAACCTAGCCCACAAATGATATACAAAAGAGGCCAAACAACAAAGAAAGAAGGTCAAGTGGGTAGGGGTTAGGGTATATATTGACGGCAATCCAGTAAATATGGACGATATATACAAAGAAATCATCACAATGAGATTGAACAAAAAATAATTATTTACCCTTACAGATCAAAATAGACATTAGTTAAAACTGAACTTTTATTCAATTTACGCAACTATTTTCTTTTAGCGTACAGCAAATCAAATTCTCAACAACTTTTGAGTTAGAATCAAACAGTAAGAATTTATTTAAACCTGCCTCTTTAATGTAAGTTCAACGCACTCCTAAAGCTTTTATCTCGACCTCTTATTGAGATGGTAGAATTCCACTATCATCCCAATACGCTCTACGAGCAACATTCTTTATATAAGATTTCAGCAAAATTTATTTCAATTAAAATAATAATTAAATGTATAAACCAATGCAAGGGTAACATAACAAATCTGTATGAATGTCAATTAGAATAGTATCAGTTAATGTAAAGGGTCTACAGGACAAGGTCAAACGTAAAAAAATATTTACATATATACAAGAAGATAATTTTGACATCGCATTCTTACAAGAAACGCACTGCGGAAAAGGGCAAGACAAGAACTGGAAGCAACAATGGGGAGGAGAAGCCTACTTCACAACTACAGCTACAAATTCAGTTGGAGTAGCAACATTAATAAACAAAAGATGTATTCCTAACCCTGAAATCATAAACTGTGATATCGACAAAGACGGGAGATTCATCATCATGGACTGCCTCTTAAAAGGCAAACTCATTACACTGGTAAATGTTTACGGCCACAACCATGACGACAGCAATCTATTTCAAAATATTAAAGAAAAACTAAGAGACAAAAATGAAAACCCAATCATTATTGGAGGAGATTTTAATGTCCCATTAGATATATCAAAGGACAAAGAAGGTGGAAGACAAGCTTCACATATCAAAACAAGGGCGCTTATTACAAATATGATAGAGGAACACGACCTATGCGATGTATGGCGACAAAAACATCCACATAGTAGAAAATACACTTGGAACAATCACGACAACACAATTAAATGTAGACTAGACTATTTTCTAGTAACTAGAGACATCTACCAACAAACAAAGAATACAGAGATTCTAAGTGAAACGATGGTGAAAAGGAAAATTGCTGACCATAGACCAGTAAAACTTGAACTCAAATTATTAAACCAGAGGAGGGGACCGGGCATCTGGAAACTTAACAACACATTACTCAAAGACAAAGAATATGTAGAAAGCATAAAAGTAATAATCAACAATGTAAAGCAGAACAATGAAAACCTCAACCCAAATAGGTTATGGGAATTAATCAAATTTAACATTAAAATGGAGACAAGACGCTACGCAACAGAGAAAAAGAGGAAGAAAAAACAAGAACTAGATATTAAAATTGGCCAAGTAATTATGATTGAACATCAGGAAAACAATAAATCACTCGCCGATCCAGAAAGACAGAAGTTAACAGACAGAGCTGAAAAATAAGGAACGAAATAGACTTAATGCAAGAAGAGAAGGCTAAAAGCGCTATCTTTAGAAGTAAATGTCAATGGGTAGATGAAGGAGAAAAGCCAACAAGATACTTCCTAAATCTTGAAAAACACAATTACATAAACAAAACCATGACAGCCATTGAAGATGAAGAAGGCGTCCTAATAACAGACCAAAAACAAATAAGTGAAGAACAAGCAAAGTTTTACAGTGAATTATATAAAACAAGAATTGTAGAAACAACTAAATTTGATAAAGACTTTTTCCCAAAAGGAGAAAACCTGGAACTAAACAAAGATGAAAAACAAAATTGTGAAGGGCATATAACAGCAGATGAATGCAGAAAACAAATTTCAAACCTCAAGAACAACAAAACCCCAGGAAGCGATGGACTCTCCAGTGAATTTAATAAAACATTTGTAGATGACATCATAGACCCAATGTGTGCAAGCTTCAACTACTCAAAAAATAACAAAGACATGACGATAGAACAAAAATAAGAGGAATGATTACTCTAATACCCAAAAAAGGTAAAGATCCAAACAAAATAAAGAACTGGAGACCCATAACCCTACTTAACAACGACTACAAAATAATGACAAAGGCCATAGCAGAACGCATTAAAAAAGTTCTTTACAAACTTATCAACGTAGACCAGACAGGATTTATATCAAATAGATACATAGGTGAGAACATAAGACTATCACTAGATGTAATGGAACACTTGACTCAACAAGGAAAGAATGGCATTATGGCAACTATCGACTTCCAAAAGGCATTCGACTCATTGGAGTGGAAATTCATCTATAAAACCTTGAAGTATTTTAATTTTGGCACAGACTTAATAGCCTGGGTTGAAACTTTCTACAATGGAATAAACAGCACTATACTAAACAATGGCTTCACATCCAGGTACTTCAACCTTGAAAGAGGTGTACGACAAGGCTGCCCATTGAGTCCTTACATATTCATCCTATGTGCAGAAGTTCTTAGCAATGCTACACGGAAGACAGACAGAATAAAAGGTATCAATCTAACAGAAAACGAAGAACTCAGAATCTCGCAATATGCAGATGATACCTGCTTGTTCCTTAAAGACGCCTCATATTTAGAAAATGCACTAGATCTTTTTAATAAATTTGAGATGATATCAGGACTTAAAATCAATAAAGAAAAGACAACAGTAGTAACCATTGGAAAAGACAACCAGATAAACAAACAAAAGACACAGAGAATATGCACAAATATTGGAGTGAATCTAGAAGAAAAGGAGATTAACCTCCTAGGCTTAACAATACCGATAGATGGAAGAAACATAGAAGAAATCAACTATAGCAAACCAATCAGGACTATACTAAGATTAGCACAAATATGGAAGCAAAGAAATCTATCCCTGATGGGTAAAATCGTGATTATAAAGTCACTACTTTTATCACAGTTAACATATCCGATGTCAGTGTTAAAAGCACCAACAGCTGAAATGACCAAAGAACTAGAAAGAATACTATTTGATTTTATATGGGACGGAAAACCGGACAAAATAGCAAGAAAAACATTAAGAGGGGGAATACCTTATGGAGGTCTTGAAATGACGCATATTCCATCACTTGCTAATAAATTAAAACTCAAATGGATTAAAAAATTAACGGACGACAACATAAAAAGTAAGTGGAAAATACTCTGGCAACAGCAGTTTGAAGATATCAGAGAACATGCATGGGAATACAACCTCAGAGAAATCAATCCGATGATTGCCAGCAACATCAAACTTACAGCAGCAAGGGACGTATACAATGCATGGTGTGCAATACATTATAAGGAGTACAAGGACATCCATACACCCGAAAACCAGATAATTTGGAACAATAGACATGTACAAAATAGAAGAGAGACCTTATATATAGAGGGGTGGAAATCCAAAGGGATAATATATATCAAACAGTTGTATGAGGACAATCAATTAATCCCGTACCAAGCACTGAAAAGGAAATTTGATTTAATAAACACAACATTCATTCAATGGTACCACATCATACACAGCATACCAGCTGAATGGAGAAACCAAATAAAAACACCGAGAAGGACCGAGACAGAAACTGATGTGAAAGAAAAATCCATTTCTATAAAGGAACTACAAACAATGACGAATAAGGATACATATAACATACTAATAAAAAGCCACACTGAAGAACCAATAAAACAACAACAACTATTGGAAAAGGCGATAGACAACACAAATATAAACTGGAAAAGCAACTACTGTAGAATATACATAACAACAAAGGAAACAAAACTGAGATATTTCCAATATAGAATATTACTTCGAACAATATTTTTCAACAAAATGCTACACAATATGAAAATCAAAACAAGCCCACAATGTGAATTGTGTAAAGAAGACAAACAGGATACCATCGAACATGGACTATACGAATTTATAGCTGTCAAACCATTCATAGAGATGGTCACCCAACTGTGTCAAATACAAAACCTGTCAAGAGCAAAATACTTCCTAGGAGAGAACACCAGTTTGGGAGAAAACCTGACGCTACTCTTGGTTAAACACTACATCTATCTCAACAAATTAGACAATAAACCACCAAATATGACAGGCCTCAAGAAATATGTTGAAGCCCAGGAAATCATAAGCAGAAGCAATGCAGAGAAGAATAACAAGTTAGAAGCCCATGACAAAGCATGGAAAACTGCTCAAAAGACATTCAAGCAGTAAATAAAAACATTGTAGATCCCTTTACAAGATATAGTAAACAGCATCAAAATAGGATAGGAAAGCACACCCCTTGCATTGGTTTTACATACACTTTATTCTTACTCATTCTTTTATCAATCAACAATCAACAACAATTGCAATTTTATTCAACATTCATTTAGTCAACATACATTTACAACATAACTATAAGTGTATTTTTTTGTCTACGTAAATTTTATTTATATTATTAATTGCATTACATTTACATGTACATATTTATATTTACATTTACATGTACATAAAGAATGAAGGAATAAAAAAAATAAAAAATAAAAAATATTTTTAACGGAGGGCGCCATATTGTAGAAACCAGGAAGTAAATATCAGGTGACTTCAAATCTCCACCCTATGTGAAGTGCAACTTGTTATGTGACAGCCTATGCGAGCGGGAACCATCCTATGCGAGTTTGAACTCAATGCGTGTGTGAAATTGGCACGTTCGTTTGAAATTTACTTTGATCCATGTGTAATTCTTTCAGTATTCTATGCAACTTATAACACAATCCGTGTTACATTTCAACATTGCTTTTGGATATTTGGAAAGTGATTGGAGTTAGTGCTAACTCTTTGTGTGACACTTGATACAACCAGTGCGTGTGTGAATGAAATTAAGCTATGTAAGAAAATTAACTGTTGGTATAACATGGATTGAAAATGGCATACGATGATGCGAGTTTCGCATATAATGATGCGTATTTCGCATAGTATGATGCGAATTTCGAATCATATAGTTCGAGTATCACATCATATAGTTCGATTTTCCCCATGGATCATGTAATGTCCAATTTTGATACAAAATAAATTCCATATGGTGGATCTGCTTAGTGAAGGTTATTATGCTCAGACACAATGTAGTTTTATACTGATAAGTCAATTTAAGTGAATCTACAAAAATCAAGATTTTATTCAAGGTTTTGTGAAAATATTTGAAAATTATTCATTTTAAGAGTCAGAATGACATGTGTTAAGAATCACTGTAAAAACAACTTAGCTTTTTACCATATTCTAAATATTATTTTTGTGATTTGTTGAAATTATATCAAAATAATCCTGGAATTCCAATTTACCCTTTTCAAAAAATTTCTAAGTCCTTATAGGTACACTCATGGGTACGGATCCTTTCAGATTAATGTGGAGTTTCTTAAAGGACAGCTGAAATAGGGTTTCTCAACTTGCAGCTACAAAAATGCGGTTTTCTTCATCGAAAGCCCAACGTAGAGTTCTTGCCATAGCCATTATACAAGAAATGTTACATAACTGTTAATGGTCATAAATAACGTAATAAAATTAACTGATCAATCAGATTGGCCCCCACGTGATTAGTAACGTCATACATAATATACAGTTTTAATTTATTGGTTCCTTGGTAATCACGACGTCAGGCAACCATATGATTGTTGTGTAAACAAATAACAAAACATCTTGGTATTATGACGTCATGCTTAAATGGACCAAAATGGGCCACGTGGGGACCAGTGAGAGATCACGTGGGGGCCAATAACGTCACAACCTATTCGAATATTGCTTATTAAGCAGCTATAACGATCGTTAGAGTGAAATAATTTTCACAATACTGCTGAGAAAACAGGTCCAAATACATTTAACAAAAAATTATATTGATTCCTTTAGGTCAAAAATACCATTTCATATTCGCTCTAGACGAAATGTCAATTTTCTGACCAGTCGTACGTCATGCTGGTACTACCTTGTCCTTTGCTAATTTTCGGGACGTTTCAGTATATGTTTTTACGTTTTCACTACGAAGGATTTAATGACTGCTGTTTCTGGTCGTGAAATATTTTATATCTAATTTGTCATCGATATGGAATATCTAATTTGTCGTATAGCTCTGATTGACATTGCGCTCTCGACGAAATGTCTATTTTCGGACCAGTCTTGCGTCACGATGGTAGCAGCATGTGTGTTGTTAGTTTGAGAGACGTTATTATATACATCTTTGCATTTGCTCTACCAAGGACTTGTTGAGTGGTTATTCTATTCGTAAGATATTGAGTATCTTATTTGTCATAAAGTTTTTGATTTACATTGTGCTCTAGACAAATGTCAATTTTCTGACCAGCGGTACGTCACGCTGGTACTAGCTTGTCCTTTGATGATTTGTAGGACGTTTAAGTATATGTTTCTACGTTTTCTCTACGAAGGATTTAACGACTGGTGTATCAGGTCGTGAAATATTTTATATCTAATTTGTCTTAAATCGCCAATACAGTAACTTTGCGATCTAGACGAAATATCAATTTTCGGACTAGTCGTACGTAACGTTGGTGGCAGCATGCTATTAGCTAATTGCTAAGAATTTTAGAATACATTTTTACATTTGCTCTACCAA